TTTTATGGAGTTTGGAGATTTTGTGAATATACTGATAGTCTTCTTTAAAATGTTAAAAAATAGTAATATAAATTGCATAAATGGGAGAATATGAGTGAATAGACTGTTCCTTCAAAGATGACAACACATGTTCCAAGACTGTTGTGCCCATTGGGCTAAATAATAAAGGCACCATGATAAGGATAGAGATAATGGCCTTTGAGTCACATAGCCAGAAAAGACCTAGAGGCCTAGAGGCATTCAGATGAGGGCTTGAACGATGATGCAAGGATTTTACAATCCCAAAAACTTTCCATGTTGGTGTTGAAATCCAGAGAATACCGTGCTGTGTAATCAAAAGACTGAATGGAGAATGTAGGAATTTCGGAGACCAACCATCAGTTGCCAAAACCTCAAAGTTAGCAGTGTCAAGTTTCATCACTATTCTGTTCCACTTTCTCTCTGTATTTACCAAGCTGGCTACTCTGACAGAATAACCGACTCTGGTAATGATATTCCTACAGATCATTTGAGAATGTCTTGTATTGCTGAGAGCTCTTGAATAGATAGATGAACTTAATAAACACATTTGAAAACCGGATCTAATGTCTTGATCTCTATGCACTCCTCCTCCAATCCCAGGTAGCACTGATGACAGGAAGACACATATTATTATTATTATTATTATTATTATTATTATTATTATTATTTATACCCAGTCCATCTGCCTGGGTTTCCCCAGTCACTCTGGGCGGCTCCCAGCAGAATATTAAAAACATGATAAAACATCAAACATTAAAAACTTCCCTAAACAACCACAATCTTGGCAACCACACACCTTCCTCCACCCCTTCCTGCCTTCATTTCATCTTCCTGGCTAGCCTTGCAAATGTATGGAATCTTAAGTCAACACACCAACTGTGGTGAGGCTGAGCTTGCGTCTCATGAGTAGAGTGAGCCCAGTGGCTTAGCGGGTCCTGCAGACCCATGGAGCTGGAGCTTTGTGAGGTGCTAGGCCCCAACTGGCAACAGGCATATTTACACACATCTTAAAAACCTGAACATCAGACCCTCCAAGTGTCCCTATTTTCCAGGGATGTCCCTAATTTACAGAAGCTGTCCCAGATTCTGATTTGATCCCAGAATGTCCTGATTTTCCTTAAAGGTAAAGGTAAAGGGACCCCTGACTGTTAGGTCCAGTCGTGACCGACTCTGGGGTTGTGGCGCTCATCTCGCTTTATTGGCCGAGGGAGCCGGTGTAAAGCTTCTGGGTCATGTGGCCAGCATGACAAAGCAGCTTCTGGCGAACCAGATCAGCACACGGAACCGCTGTTTACCTTCCCGCCGGAGCAGTACCCATTTATCTACTTGCACTTTGACATGTTTTCAAACTGCTAGGTTGGCAGGAGCAGGGACCAAACGATGGGAGCTCACCCCGTCGCAGGGATTCGAACTGCCGACCTTCTGATCGGCAAGCCCTAGGCTCTGTGGTTTAACCCACAGCACCACCCGCATCCAAGCGCCACCCTATTTTCATTGGAGAAACATTGGAGGGTATGGAGTTATTCGACTGAAGGCAGTCCTGGATAGGGAAGTTTTGTTCATGTTTTATTATGTTTTAATATATTTTGGAAGCTTCCCCAGAATGGCTGGGGCAACCCAATAAGATGTGTGGGGTATAAATAGTAAAATTATCATTATGGAATAGAACCTCCCTATTTTCATTGGAGAAATATTAGACAGTATGGAACAACAACATGGAACATGTAAAATGGTGTTATAATATTAATGCCATGTTCATTATTTTTTGTGGAGAATGTATTAAATTTCATTTAATGAAATTTAGGAAAAAGAAACCAGAATGTAGGCACAGAAACAGTTTGATCTTGAGTCACAAACCAGAAAAATGTGTGCCCAGTACCCAAATCTGTGGAACTATGGGATTTTTGATAGAGCAAAATGTGAGCAGGAGACTCAGTAAAATAGACGAAATGGATAAAAAAGTTAAGTGTTGAAGAGCAATCTGGTTTCTCTGTTAATCCTTCTGAGCCGACTTAATAAAAGGGATATAGAATATTAATATTTTTGCTGTGCTGTTTGGTTAAGTGACCTTGGTAAAAGCAAGTAGGTGAATTTAGAAATTAGTTTAATTAGCAGAATTTTAATATCAGCTAGCTCATTCAGACCATTTACCATGCTGACCATTTAAGTCAATTTCACTAATGGATAGAAAGACAGGAAAATACACAGTGCAAACACTGCACGGTAGTCTAATTTAATAATTTCCCTCTAAGCCCCTTCAGCAAATTGCATATCTTAAAATGGAATTTCATTTAGCATTCACACAACAGCACAGAAATGTTGAGTTTATCACTGACCTACTTGCTTAATGAAAACGTCTTTAAAAAATATAGCATTTATTATTCAAAGGCTTGATTGGTAAAAGGTCAGCCTGCAAATCTGCGAAGGTGTATAAATGTTTTCCCCACATAAAAAGTGTAGATCCATCCAAGATAACCAACTTCTGTATTTTGGGGTCGGTCACATTGTTTTCCAGAGCATTGTCAGGGGGTGGAAATCTATTTTGCCACATGAGCTCATTACATTTCAGCTGGCAGAGTAGCTACTGGCTGGATCACAGTGCAGGCTGTTTTAATGTGGCTCTCAGCCTAATTTCATGTGTTTGGCAAAGATGGAGAAGCGGGGAGAGGGGGTGACAGAGAATGAAAGAACAAAACTGAAGTGTAGGTGGGTTCCCACATGGCAAGACGCAGTGATTACAGCAAGAACCTTTATTGAACTACATAACTGGGAAACAGGGGCAAAGCAATTGCTTATGCAGTGGTACCTCTGGTTATGCACTTAATTCGTTGCAGAGGTCTGTTCTTAACCTGAAACTGTTCTTAACCTGAAGCACCACTTTAGCTAATGGGGCCTCCTGCTGCTGCCACGCCACCGGAGCACGATTTCTGTTCTCATCCTGAAGCAAAGTTCTTAACCCGAGGTACTATTTCTGGATTAACAGACTCTGTAACCTGAAGCGTATGTAACCTGAAGCGTCTGTAACCCGAGGTACCACTGTATACATTTCTGGAGGCCTAGGCCACTCCCACTCCCAACATGATTGGCTGTCTAAACTTCCAAGCTGTGAATCATGACTCAGAGTTCAAGGGTCAATGGCAGAGGCCAATATCCTGAAATGTTCTGTGATTGGATATCATGTATCGAGCTCAGAGCTCAGAATCCTCAGTCCAGACTCAAGCTCAGGCAAACAATGACCACTGAATACATAACAAAGACCATGCCCCACCCAGTGGCGAAGATGCATGTTCCGGCACCGGGAGCAGAGAGCAGGTGGGGGCGTGGCTGGCTCATGTCCTGGGGGCGTGGCACGTGTCCTGGGGGCACGGCATGCCACCTGCAGAGGCGTGGCGTGCGTCCATGGGGCTCTGCCCACAGGGGTGTGGTGTGCGTCTTGGGGGCGTGGCGCACATCCAGGGCGGCGGCTGTGATGGTACCCCCCTCCGCAATGGTGCCGGGGGCAATGCGCTCCCCTACCCCCCATCAGTGGCCCCACCCATTATTCATTTAGGCGCCACCAGTATCAGTATTTGACCCCTGAGAGGGGTAAAGTTTCCCACCTTTGCTTTACATGATCAGAGGTTCTTATCACAACCATTTAATCATGTACTAAGCTTGGATCCTAGAACAATAGGCAGGTAGGATCCTAGAATGCAACAACTGACTGGCTTGCAGGAGAAGACCAATCAGGCTCCAGGAGGGAAGCAGAATCAGCCAGTCAGACAGGACTCATTGTGTAAATAATGTATATAAAGGCCTGAGGTTTGGGGGGGAAATTCAATCACTGTTTTACAAGCTGCAGTAAAGAGCATGAAATCACTGCAAGACTCTGAGTATATTTCACAGGCATTCCCTGTCCTTTCAAGATATTATTTCGGGGCAACTGAAGGAATGGGACATGCTGCTGTTCGTTGGCAAAAAAGCAGCAGAGAAATGGGTGTGGCATGGCTAAGAACCACATTGCCCAGAGGTTTCGTTGCTGTTGTTTCCTTACGCCATTGATGTAGCAGCAACATCAGCACCAATCGCCAGGGGGTTAGTTCTACATAGCTCTGGCCAATTCACTTTCATGAGTGATGCAGATGGAGAGCACATGCAGTTTGAGGGGGAACATTTAATTAGTGCTTCTTTCAGGGCTTATTTTCCTTCACCTAAACCCGCACCTGTTCTGAATCTCCCATTAGGTCACCATCTTCCAACAGAGACTGTGTATTTAATAGTTGGTTAGCATTCAACATCTAAAGCACTGGGGAATCGCCTTGCTGGGAAAAGCTGCATCTGTAGAATTTCTTCCTCTCATGCTGCTGTTCCAGGTGAAAAGAGGGAGAAGGAATCCTAATTACCCACTGAATGAATGGAATGAGCAGGGGAATATTACAACAGCTGCCTCTGTACTTTGATGTTAGTTCAAAGGGCAGGTAGGTTTAACCTAGACTGAAGCAAAAACATATCCTTTAAAAAGCCCCACCCCCCGCATATATAACAACTTGAAAAACAAACAAACCAATACAGTGGTACCTCAGGTTACATACGCTTCAGGTTACATACGCTTCAGGCTACACACTCCGCTAACCTAGAAATAGTGCTTCAGGTTAAGAACTTTGCTTCAGGATAAGAACAGAAATCAGGCTCCGGTGGCGCGGCGGCAGCAGGAGGCCCCATTAGCTAAAGTGGTGCTTCAGGTTAAGAACAGTTTCAGGTTAAGTACGGACCTCCGGAACAAATTAAGTACTTAACCCGAGGTACCACTGTACAGGGAAGTCATATTTGGTTCGGTTTGTGTGGTATACAAAACTACCATTTCTGTCATTATTCTTATTTTCATGTTATGTAGGAAGAATATGAAAAGAAATGTATCACTCCATAGAAGTAAGAGAATTATAGAATTGGAAGGGATCACAAGGACCATCTAGCCAGACCCCCTGCAATGCAGGAATATTTTGCCCAACGCGGGTCTCGAACCACATCCCTGACATTAAGAGTCTCATGCTCTACCAACTGAGCTATTCAGTTGGTACCTCAACCTATCGAATCTCTCCATCAAAGTTCTTGTAAAGCTGTTGAGGAACTGCCCATTTCAACACAGTCATACCTTGTTACATCCGCTTCATGTTACGTTTTTTCAGGTTGCATCCCGCAGCGACCTAGAAGTACTGGAAAGGGTTACTTCCGGGTTTTGCCACTTGTGCATGCGCAGTAGTGCTAAATTGTGCTTTGTGCATGCACACAAGCACCAAACCGAACCACACAGATATGGCGCAGATATGGCACTTCAGGTTGTGGGCTTTTCACGTTTCGAATGGGACTCTGGAATGGATCCCGTTCGCAACCAGAGGTACCACTTGTAGTTCTTGACAGAATGAATCCATAATACTATCCTATGAAGTCAGTGGATTTGCAACCGGCTGACTGACCGAACCCAAAGGGTGCTCATCAATGGTTCCTCTTCATCCTGGAGAAGAGTGACTAGTGGGGTGCCACAGGGTTCTGTCTTGGGCCCGGTCTTATTCAACATCTTTATCAACGACTTGGATGATGGACTCAAGGGCATCCTGATCAAATTTGCAGATGACACCAAACTGGGAGGGGTGGCTAACACCCCAGAGGACAGGATCACACTTCAAAACGACCTTGACAGATTGGAGAACTGGGCCAAAACAAACAAGATGAATTTTAACAGGGAGAAATGTAAAGTATTGCACTTGGGCAAAAAAAATGAGAGGCACAAATACAAGATGGGTGACACCTGGCTTGAGAGCAGTACGTGTGAAAAGGATCTAGGACCACAAACTTGACATGAGCCAACAGTGTGACGCGGCAGCTAAAAAAGCCAATGCAATTCTGGGCTGCATCAATAGGAGTATAGCATCTAGATCAAGGGAAGTAATAGTGCCACTGTATTCTGCTCTGGTCAGACCTCACCTGGAGTACTGTGTCCAGTTCTGGGCACCACAGTTCAAGAAGGACACTGACAAACTGGAACGTGTCCAGAGGAGGGCAACCAAAATGGTCAAAGGCCTGGAAACGATGCCTTATGAGGAACGGCTAAGGGAGCTGGGCATGTTTAGCCTGGAGAAGAGGAGGTTAAGGGGTGATATGATAGCCATGATCAAATATATAAAAGGATGTCACATAGAGGAGGGAGAAAGGTTGTTTTCTGCTGCTCCAGAGAAGCGGACACAGAGCAATGGATCCAAACTACAAGAAAGAAGATTCCACCTAAACATTAGGAAGAACTTCCTGACAGTAAGAGCTGTTCGACAGTAGAATTTGCTGCCAAGGAGTGTGGTGGAGTCTCCTTCTTTGGAGGTCTTTAAGCAGAGGCTTGACAACCATATGTCAGGAGTGCTCTGATGGTGTTTCCTGCTTGGCAGGGGGTTGCACTCGATGGCCCTTGTGGTCTCTTCCAACTCTATGATTCTATGATTCTAAGTCAGCTTCCATATTTGTTTTTCTCCTTGTTTGTACTTACTTTGTCAATCTTTCCATTAAAGCATACATTAGTGCCATATTACAATTTTCCCTTCTTGACATGTTCCACCTACTGCCCTTGCGGCACAAAACAGGTCAAATCCATCGCACACTTTTTTAAATTTTACTGCCCATGTTATGCAAATATATAGGATAAGTATTTGGGTCCCTTATTGAAGGAGGAGATTTATTGCACTGGCTCTTCCAGGGTGTCTTATCTGCTGAATAATTGTAGGAATGACGTTGTGGAGAATGTGGCAAGATTTTTGAGTGACAGCATGAAATTACGTCACCATAGGTCCTAAGAGCCATTTTGGACAGTTTTATCCTGAGGTATCTCCTACTATGTTTCATTAACTGTGTTGTGTCCTGATTCATGTAAATGAAGCACTAAGCCAATAAAGGAGATTGATTCCTCCATCTTGTTTTCCAATTTCTCACTATTACATAGTTGTCTGCAGCTAATAACATTGATAATGTCTATTTGCCAAGGAACACTCAGGCAAGCCTGATCTTGATGTTGCCTTGTGTTACCTAGAACCCACACAACATATTACCATGCTCTTGTGCTTCTCTTATTCATTTCCAGCGCTATTTTTCTAGAAAAAGAGGTGCCGGAACTCACCATGAACATATCCTTTGTTCTCTTATAATGGCAATAATACCCACCTGAGAGATGCCAGAACTGAGTTCCAGTGAGTTCCAGCTGAGTTCCAGCTGAAAAAAGCCCTGTTCATTTTTTTTAATATTTTTTTTTATTAATTTTAACATATAAATTATAAAATGTACCACAAAACTTATCACGTATACAATCTTTTTGGACTTCCATCAGCACCTCTGATGATCCGCCATTTTAACCACTTCTTACACATTTCTTAACTTTATATTGCCTTTACATCTCTTAACAAATCATCCTCCCCCTTGTCCATTTTTACCATACTTCTAATAATACTCCTCACAAAACTTATTGCAGCCCTACAAACGTCATCTGTTCTTCACAATTACTTTTCAAATAGTCCGTAAGTTTACTCCATTCTTCCGTGAATTTCTGGTCTCGCCGGTTTCGAATCCTTCCTGTTAGTTTATCTAATTCTGCATAGTCCATTAACTTCATCCTCCATTCTTCAATCGGCGGTAACTCTTCTTGCTTCTTGCCCTGTTCATTTCAATGATAAGAATGCAAGAGATTTGGACCTGATGCTTTTGTTCAAAAAATGGTGGGATTAGTACCTATTACCACAATTTACAATGCTACACTGGTGCAGTAGATCTGATGCTTAACCTGACCCACTCATTTCCTACTGGGCTGCTTCACAGGATTGAGTCGTAAGCGCATGTACCAACAGGCCACCTGAAAAAGAAACAACACTTTACAGGAAAACTGCACAAATTAATGCCTCATCTAATAATTTGTTATATTTACTCATGATGCCATTTCCACTTCGTGATCCCAGGAGAGAGTTCAGTTCGAGTTTTACATTAAAGTTGTAAATTATTTGTGTAGTCTTCCTTTTTGTGTACTCTTCCCATTTGTGTCACTTAAGCACAAATGTTCTCTATTGTTATTGCCGATACTAGAAGGATAAATCCTTTGGGTGCAATTCACACCTCAAGCTTTCACATTCTGTGAAGCCCTTCAGCTCACTCTGCCGTGATTCTGAATACTAAGAACACAGACAGCATACGCACAAAACACACGCTTGACATAATCGTAAAAACAGTTTTCAAGTTCATAATTCCTTTTTTCAATCTACAGGACTCATGAGCTTGCACATACTTAAAACACTAGTGCCCCATTTATTGGAGTCTGTTTGGCCCAAATAGGACTTCTAAATCAAACACATATTTTCTTTTCCTATTGCTTCTAGAGGATTTTTATTTTTATTTATTTTTTGCTGGAGGGTGGGGGAGAGGAGAGAGAGAAAGTTTGGGTTTATCTACAACTGCATGGGGAAGAACATGAAAACTCAGTACAAAGAGCAAACTCCACAGCTGTACTCAGGTTGTGATGACGTATAACGTTGTCAGAAGATATCTGTATTTCAAATTATTCTTTATCATTTAGTGACTTAGGGTAGATTCTTCTAAAAAATAGTTTCATTACCCTGAAGTATCTCCGAGTAGCCAACTCATGAGTCTAGATCATGAAGCTCTATATCTGTGACTGACAAAATATGATGTGTATACAGTGGTACCTCAGGTTAAGAACTTAATTTGTTCTGGAGGTCCGTTCTTAACCTGAAACTGTTCTTAACCTGAAGCACCACTTTAGCTAATGGGGCTTCCCACTGCCACTACGCCGCCACTGCACGATTTCTGTTCTCATCCTAAAGCAAAGTTCTTAACCTGAGGTACTATTTCTGGGTTAGCAGAGTCTGTAACCTGAAGTGTCTGTAACCTGAGATACCACTGTAATATCTCAATAAAAGAGGTTGTCTTCAACTAACTTTTACTCAGAGTAGACCTATTAAAATTAATGGGCCTAATTTTCTTGTAGACACTAATTACTCTGAGTAATATAACTGGGTTAGTGTAACTGGCCTCGATACTGCAACCAGACCATTTTGGCAAGTTTAGGCTGGTATTCTCTTGGGCAGGGACACAAAGTTGTACCAAAAGAGCCTCACCTTTCCCTGATCTTTTGCCACTGTTCCCCAGACAGATTCTCTGTACAGAGAGACACTGCCCACTTTAGGTCAGGGGAGACTTGGTCCTTGGGTTTTGACTCCATCACAACTCCTGTTGCTCTGTCCCAGCTCCTGCCATCCTAGCAGTTCGAAAGCATGCCAGTGCAAGTAGATAAATAGGTACCGCTGCGGTGGGAAGGTAAATGGCATTTCCATGTGCTCTGCTTCTGTTGCGCCAGAAGCGGTTTAGTCATGCTGACCACATGACCCAGAAAGCTGTCTCTGGACAAACGCCGTCTCCCTCAGCCTGAAAGCGAGAGGAGTGCCACTACCCCATAGTTGCCTTTGATTGGACTTAACCATCCAGGGGTCCTTTACCTTACCTTTACTTTTACCATCACAGTTTTGTCCTTAAGCACAGTGTTTTGATTTTCCTCTCTAAGTAAGTTGGCATGCATTCATTCTTATGGGGAAGATGTAACCACTGTCTGGGACAGAGATCAAATTCTTTTCCACACTGTTTTCATCTGTGTCTGATATTATAACCCATTTACTATGTATTATCAAACTATGGACACTACCCTCTGGAAGTGCTGTTTTGCAGGTGGGATTTAGTTGCATGCCAGCAGACTCAGGCTGCACGATCAAAGTGGGTTCAGGACTCTTGTGCAACAGGCCTGCTCCTCCCCCCTCCCAAAAAGTGAACTTTTGCAGTAGGGAAAGTGATAGGGAAATGAATGGAACTAAGGGATAAATGATACAGGCGCTTCTTATATCGTTATGACCTCATCTAACCTCCCTGCAAACAAATTGGAATGAATGCTATATAAAATACCTTATTTTTCGCTCCATAGGACGCACTTTTTTCCTTCCAAAAATGAAGGGGAAATGTGTGTGCATCCTATGGAGTGAATGCAGGTTTTCGCTGAAGCCTGGAGAGCGAGAGGGGTCAGTGCGGACCGACCCCTCTCGCTCTCCAGGCTTCAGGAAGCTATCCGCAAGCCTTCGGAGCACGGCGGGAGTTCCCGCCGGGCTCCCAAGGCTTGCGGATAGCAGCCTGCAGCCCGAAGCCCGGAGAGTTCCCGCCGGGCTCAGAAGGCTTGCAGATAACAGCAAGCTCCGGGAGCGAACTTCGCCCCCACTCCTGGACCCGTTCTGGGGGCTGGGGTCGGGGGAAGCTCGGGCTTCCCCTGCCCCAGCCCCACAGCTAAAAACGAAGCCAAGACAGCGAGTGGGATCCATCCCGCTCGCTGTCTTGGCTTCTGCCAAAGCTGCGCGCAACCTCTCCCTGCTGGAGAGGTTGCGTGTGGCTAAAGAGGAAGCCAAGACAGCCAGCGTGCGGCTAAAGAGGAAGCCAAGACAGACAGCCAAGACACTCGCTGTCTTGGCTTCCTCTTTAGCAGCACACATTTTCCCCCCTTTATTTCCTCCCCTAAAAACTAGGTGCACCCTATGGTCAGGTGTACCCTCTGGAGCGAAAAATACGGGTAGTTAACATCACATAACCTCAACAGAAACTTTCTGCAAATGAATCAGGATGAATGCTCAACAAGCCGCTAACTTGGAAGCAACCTCAGCCCAAGGGTTTTGTTTCTGCTCTTTTAAGGAAAATCCAGATGGAAATTTAGCTATAGCTACACAGCTGCAGACACTTTAGCGAAGTGTTGTAAAAATCATATTTTGCACCGTCATCATAGGAATGACACATTGCAATAGAGCAGGATAGCAAGCATTAGTATGCCTGGCTAATTAACCTCATCCTCGTGTAAATAAGATTAATTAGTAATTTTCTCCTCTAATCTGGTGGGAAACATGGATAATTATAGTTGTATTGTTTATGCAAATTTTACCCAAATAGGACAGAACAGGTTGCAAAGTAAAGTTCAGCCGAATGACTACTCCTGAACATACCGCCAAAAGACAGATAAGCTAATTAAGACATGCCATCTACATAAACAAATATGGACACCTACTCTTGCATACAGCTACCCCTCTGCCTCATTTATTCTAGGCTTTCTAGTATAGTACGCTAGAAGACTGAGGTCACTAACTGGAAAATGTGATTTGTATGCAGTATTGACAAAACAGTGACTCATGTTGCACAAAGAAGGCAAGTGCCCTCAGAATAGCCGATGAGAATAATGGCAAACCTTTGCAATGAACAATAGGAAAGACAGTTTGCAGGGTGAACAGCATGATTCTGGCATGACAGAGGTCCATTTCATGCATTACCAGATTTGTCACTGAGGGCTCATTGAACAGGAAGCTGCAGACAAACCTAGCTCCTGGAAGCAGTAGTACCTCGGGTTAAGTACTTAATTCGTTCTGGAGGTCCATTCTTAACATGAGACTGTTCTTAACCTGAAGCACCACTTTAGCTAATGTGGCCTCCTGCTGCTGCCGCACCGCCGGAGCACGATTTCTGTTCTCATCCTGAAGCAAAGTTCTTAACCTGAAGTACTATTTCTGGGTTAGCGGAGTCTGTAACCTGAAGTGTATGTAACCTGAAGCATATGTACCCTGAGGTACCACTGTACCTGTTTGTTGGGCTAGGTGAAATTTTCATTTCTGAAAGGCCAAATGTTCATTTAAAAATGGGGGGATGGCAGTGGAAGAGGGGGCAAAACCATCTCCCCGAGTGCATGTTTTCAGGTCTGGGGTCACATGGGAGAGGGGATACTTACTTACTGTAGCGCTTTGATGACTACATCTAGATAATGGTCAGTTTTTTATCTCACAGAATGTCCCACTCCAAGGGACATTTCCAATGGAAACTACAATTTCTCTGTGCTGGCCACCTTTTCCTTCAAAATGCAACCTGGAATGGGGCCAGGGAGTTTTTTCAGCTGGAACTAACACAGTTCCAGCACCTCTCAGGTGGGCACTGTTGTCATTATAAGAGAACAAGGAAGGGGTTCTGGAAAACGCCTCTAGAAAAATAGCACTGGATGGGGCATTATGGGAAATAAAAAAGGCCGACTTCCTGCTGGATGGAACATCAAAGAGCTCTAAAGTTTTCACTGCCCGACAGCTTGAAGAAAAATGCAGAGAACAAAACCAACCCATGTATATGGTATTTATTGACCTGACTAAGGCCTTCGACACTGTAAATCATACTGCCCTGTGGACTGTCCTTCTGAAAATCAGCTGCCCAAATAAATCTGTACAAATCCAAACACAACACGTGGCTAATAAATTTGTAAACATCCTTCGGCTGCTCCACAATAATATGACAGCCACAATCACAGATAACAATGGCTCTCAAAGTGAACCATTCACAGTAGGATCATAGAGCTTCAATATTCTGATGACAATGTAGCGTGTGCACACTAAGAGGATGACCTCCACACTATCCTAAATATATTTGTAGAAGCTTATGAAAAGCTTGAGCTGTTGCTCAATATCCAAAAAACCAAAGTGCTGCACCAACAAGCACAAAACAACCCCTCTGCAGCACCACAAATCCAACTTAATGGTGTAAAGTTGAAAAATGTTGATCATTTTCCCTACCTAGGCGGTTATTTTTCTACAACGGCCAACATTAATGCCAAAATCCAGCATTACCTGAGCTCTGAGTGCAACTTTCTCCCGACTGAAGTGAGGAGTTTGAGGACAGGAACATTCGCAGGGAAACCAAAATGCTTGTTTGCAAAACTATTGTACTACCAACTTTACTGTACACTTTTGAAATATAGACCACTTACAAACACCACCTCCAACTCTTCAGAAGGTTCTATCAATGTGTCTCCAAATTTTTTTACACATCACTTGCGAATATAGGCAAACTAATGCTGGAGTACTGGAAGAAGCAAAGATCACCAGTGTCAAAGCAATGGTTCTTCAACATCAACTTTGTTGGACTGGTCATGTTGTTTGGATGCCTGATGATCGTCTTCCAAAGCAACTACTCTATTCCGAACTTAAAAATGGAAAGTGTAGTGCTGGTGGTCAACAAAAGAGGATTAAAGATGCCCTCAAGGTAAATCTTAAAAAAAAAAGTAGTATGAACACCGACAATTGGGAAACACTGGCCTGCGAGCACTCCAATTGGATAACAGCCTTTACCAAATGTGTCATGGACTTTGAAGATACTCAAATTCAGGTCGAAAGGGAGAAATGAGTTAATAGTAATAACAATAATTTTATTATTTATACCCTGCCCATCTGGCTGGGTTTCCCCAGCCCCTCTGGGCAGCTCCCGACAGAGGAGGACTAAAAACAAAATAAAACATCACACATTAAAAACTTCCCTAAACAGATCTGCCTTCAGATGTCTTCTGAAAGTCAGATAGTTGTTTATTTCCTTGACATCTGATGGGAGGGCATTCCACAGGGCTAAGATGAAGGCACATTTGGCAAACTCTCTCCCTGATCAACTCCCACCCAGAAACCTATGTCCCCACTGTGGAAAGGCATGTGGATCCAGAACTGGCCTCCACAGTCACTTACGGACTCACTATTAAGACCGTGTTCATGGAAGACAATCTTACTCCGCTACAAGTGATCGCCAATAAAGGATGGAACATCAAAGAGGTCTAAAGTTTTGTCCACCCCAATGGACAACAATGGACCCCTGAAATTCACTGAAATGCCCCCCATTTCACCCTAGCCCCATAGTATGATACCATGTGCTCAAACCTTTGTTTTTCATATTAACTATTTCCACTGTTAGTCAGAATACCCAAGGAATTTAAAGTTTGTTTGTCCCAATATGGCTTGACCTGATCTGCTCCTATTGGACTCATGTGATGCTTTAAACTAGCCTTCTAGGCACTTCTCAGCTGCAAAAGTAGACCAGAATATGTTTTTTAAGAGAAAATATGTTTATAAAGACATATTTTGTGAAGAACGTATTAAAACATATTTAAATTTTATTTTAAAGCATAGATTAATGTAGAAAACAGAATTATGACCGAACAGGCTACAGATAAGACTGAATCCTTCCCTCCTAATTTTTAGATGTGTACCTGAAACCAGCACTGCATTTTCAAGCCATTATTTCCAGAGGCATAGAGGAAAGTTCTGTTAGTGCAGAATTCAGCTTTCTGAGAATTTCAGCCTTCATTTGAAGAACAGATGAAGCTCCCAGATCCTACAGCTGCTTGAAATGTATACAAAGGTTGTAAAATAACAGAAACTAGAGAAGTGGCTTGAGAATATTTTCCTTGGGAGTGGGAGTAGGCCTTCAGTGCCCTCGCCCATCCCATAGCCAAGCAAATCAGCACACACAGCAGTACAAATTGTGCGAAATTAAGAAAAAAATATGCAGAGTTTGCATACTTTATGCCAACAGCAAACCTGGAATTTTCTACTGTGGAGATCTGAATGGAAATAACTTGTGCTGGTGCTAGACACATCTAAGACGTGTTTTAGTTAAACATGTTGTAAACTTTGTACAGTGGTACCTCGGGTTAAGAACTTAATTTGTTCTGGAGGTCCATTCTTAACCTGAAACTGTTCTTAACCTGAGGTACCACTTTAGCTAATGGGGCCTCCCCCTGCTGCCGCGCCGCCGTGGCACGATTTCTGTTCTCATCCTGAAGCAAAGTTCTTAACCTGAGGTACTATTTCTGGGTTAGCGGAGTCTGTAACCTGAAGCGTCAGTAACCTGAAGCATCTGTAACCCGAAGTACCACTGTATGAGAAATCAGGTTGACAAAACGGAACTCCACAGTGCCATCTGGTGTCACAGTGTTATAATGCATATACAACACATATAAAACACTTTTTGTTTACCAATCTAGCTGAGCCCTTGGTTTTGGTATTTTGGGTTTTTTTTGTTTGTTTTTTTAAGAATTAAGTTCATACTACCTTCCTTAACAGCTACAGAACATATAGAGTCAAGTGGCTGTGAAGTTCTGCCCACAGTAGGTGTGATACCACTGTGTCATCAGTTGTAGCCGGGGCATAGTGGAAAAACTGAATAATATTTTAGCAGTATTTCCTCTCCACAATTATTGATTCAGGATGTGAGAACCCTCCAAGTGTCCCTATTTTCCACGGACAGTCCCTGATTTAGAGAAGCCGTCCCGGTTTCTGATTTGATCCCTGAATGTCCCACTTTCCCTTAGGATGTCCCTATGTTCATGAGAAACCATTCCAGGCTTGTGGTGAGGTCGTAGGGTTGACAAGAGGAAGGGATTAGCACATGAGAGATAAGGACAAGGGGATCATTTGCAAACTTTGTTGTGATACCCATTAGAAAGCAATTCCTGGCTGAAACTGTCTTGAGAATTTATTATAGTGACCATTTCCACACACCCCTCCCAAAAGTGATCAGGCTTGCCATTTCTTTTCAAACAACTGACTTTTACAGTTTCACCTTTGCACCACGAGTATCTTAGCAACCATCAAATCCTGGCTGAGTCTTTCCAGGTAATTTACAGTTCATTTGTTTCCATCCGGCTCAAAAAATTACAAGGTCAGACTGTAATAAGAATGTGACCGATAATTCTATAGTCTGGAGACCCACTTAGAAGAAGGGACAAAAGCCTAGGTGAGATGGGGGTGCTAGAGGCAGACAGGATACAACCAATTTTAAACATGCTCCATTGATTTCACATCGAACATTTGCTTAATTCTCATTGAAATCAGCACGACTTAAAAAGTGCTGGACTATACATGCCCTCTTTATCCAATGGAAAAATCAGGACTTTTAAAAAAGAGATTCAATTTGACTCCCAAAAATAAGAATGAGAAAGACAACTGAGATCATTCAACTGAAATGGTTGAAATAATTCATTTGACCTACGTGTGAGTCAGTGGTATCTCAGATGATTCTGTTTAAACCATCATGTTCACTGTTTTATTAGTTCAGATTTATCCTGACTTTTCAGTTCATTAATTTCTATGTAAAGCTTATACTATTTAGAGTAGTGGTATAATGCACACATATGGTTTTAAATTCCTGGAGTGAAAATGGCTAGAGCAAATTTCAATCAATCAATCAATCAATCATCAATCAATCAATCAATCAATCAATCAATCAATCACACTCTAACTGATTGTCATGGATCAATTAAAAAGAGAGAGTGAGAAAGTGGTGCGTTGTGGCACATAATTAAAACAATTGCATGGAATGGTGGATAGTCAAATAATCTGATATTTGAGAAACATCCTGTCTCCAATTGGAATAGCAAGCAAGTAATGATATACAAAGATGAAAAGAAGCAAAATGGCATGTGAATAAATCGTTTGGAAAATCTTCCCTTGACTAAAATTATTACACATTTGATTTCATGGATAGGAAGATAGAAAGCTGTCCTTGGTCCATCTAGCTCAGAATTGTCAATACTGACTGAGCGTGACTGCTTTATTTCAGATTGTGATATTTGCCTCACAATTTGAATAAGGGCTCAATACAGGGATATGGTTAAAGGTGATTTTCCATCCCAAGGAAGACCTGTGCCAAACCAAAACAGAAGTGCAGGCAGGCATAAGATGTGCTGGGAGGCAGAAATTCTTCCCAACATCCAAGCCATAGGTATTGGGAAGCCATATGCGCCCTCGCCCACTGCTCAGCATTCAGCAGGTGGTGCCTGCTAGGCTACATGAGGACCACAAGAAGCAGCCTGTGCCCCACTCTATTCATCTACAAGCGGTGGTTAGTGGTGTGTCCTTCACTCAATGTGTGCCAGAAGGCTGGCTGGTATCTAAAATGCTCACCTGTTTGTGGTCAATGGCCAATAAACCAAATGGTCAGATGAAACCCCATCCCATCATAAGCCAATCAAATTCAGAATAGAGCAAAACAGGCCAAAAAGAGAGAGAGAGCACCCCAAAATCACTGTGCCTCATGCCAATCCTATTATAAACTTCATCTGCAACACCTTGAAAGATTCCATCAACGGTGTCTCCGAAAAATTTTACACATCACTTGGGAAGACAAGAGAACTAAAGCCAGTGTACTGCAAGAAGCAAAGATCCCCAGTGTCAAAGCAATGATTCTTCAACATCAACTTTGTTGGCCTGGTCATGTTTGGATGCCTGATGATCGTCTTCCAAAGCAACTACTCTATTCTGAACTTAAAAATGGGAAGCATAATGCTGGTGGCCAACAAAAGAGGTTTAAAGACTCTCTCAAGGCAAATCTAAAAAAAGGTAGCATAAACAACTGGGAAACACTGGCCTGCGAAAACAGCCTTAACCAAAAGCATCATGGACTTTGAAGAAGCATGAACCCAGGACAAAAGGGAGAAATGTGCTAAGAGGAAGGCACGCTTGGCAAACCCTCACCGTGATCAATTCCCACCGGGAAACCTATGTCCCCACTGTGGAAGGAGATGTGGACCCAGAATTGGCCTCCACAGTCACTTACGGACTCACTGTTAAGACCGTGTTCATGGAAGACAATCTTACTTGGCTACGAGTGATCACCAAAGAAGAAGACTCAGCTCCACTTGCCAACTGCTCAAGCGTGGGATTGTTGTGGAGGATGGGGGGGTGATTAAAAAAATAATCAACTTGTCATATACCATTTAAATAATAGGCTTAGACTGCTTTTTTAAAAAGTCAAATTGCCTCCCAGATCAGTTTATATCAACGTATAAAATTATATACCTATAAAATCCAACAGAGCAACTGAAAGCAGTTAACGTGGTGGTGATTAAAAAATCAGTCCTGTCAGACTGGGAATATCCCCTCACTCACCCAAGTTGAGGATATTCCACTGTTCTCAGCAGAGTTTCTTTTCTGTCGGCAAAGCGGCTCACCTATATGTCAAACAAAGCTTTAATAATAAAGAAAATGGCAACACAATAGCATGCTGCCTGAGAGAAACTGAAACAACAGCATGAGGGGGGAAGCAAGAATGACAGTGGCCTCTCTAACAGAACACCTGAAGTGAGGGGCCGATTCCGGAGCACAACACAAAAGCCCCACCCACCAGATGCCAGACATTCTACTATTCAAATTAGGCCCCAGTGTTTTTCTAAGAGGGATGACAGGATGCAACTGCAAGGAAGAGAAGAAAGTGACAGAAGCAAGCTGTTATAGGCTGTCTCCCCTGCCTCAACACTATTGGCTCCAACAGGTCACATGGAGAGTAGATTTCACCTGCATACTGAAGGAAGCCAAACAAGACCTGCTTCCACACCGTGGTGGAGCAAACCCACACCCAATTACTAGTTGGTGGTAGTGCTGTTTTTCAAGAAAAAGAGGTGCCAGGACTCACCCTGAACACACCTCCCTTGTTCTCTTATAATGGCAATGAAATCAAGTTTTAGAGAGTTCTGACTGAAAAAAGCCCTGATTGGCAGTGATCTCCAAACTGTAGATACAGAAGCAGATGACCACCTTACCAAAATACCCCTCCCACCAATCTGGAGTGAAATGTTTGAGGAATTTCAAAGGGAAGCAAAAGAGGTAAAAGGCTTGTGACATTTCTTAGGGCAGTGGAGAGCCGCCCACCTCTAATTGGAGAGTTAAGCAACCTCAGATGAAGGATCAGAGAATCTGAAGGGGAGCTAAGAATAGGAATGGTCAGATGAATCTTGATCCATTCCATGTCATTTTTACATGTGCTTTGTCACAGGTCTGTTTCATCCTGCTTTTTGTGGATTTTTTTAATGCTCAGCAAACACTTATTGAAACCGTACCTTTCATTAAGAGACACACTTTGTACACATGTTGGACAGATTCTTTCCTTAAAATGCATGTTTCAGAGCACTTTCCCCTGTCAAATCTGCATTCTTGTGTGCGTCATTTGCAGAAGTGCACAATCTGACTGGCAGCTGAATTCTGATCAGCATCCAAATCTGGAACCAGCAGACTGAGTTGGTCAATGTCCCAGGGGAGCATATTGTTTTATTAACTACTAGAACTTACATGGTTAGGAGCATGACTCAAAAGATGGTTTTTCTGAACTGTGGAGGACTAGAAGCGAACTAATTCATTATTAATATATCCTCTAAGGTATAGAGAATTTATTCAGGAGAGGAGAACCAGAAAGCAGCAAGTTCCCCATTAGTTGGAGTCTCTGATAAGAGCCCTTGGGGAAACAAAATTTTATGTGTTATTGAGTTTTTTAATTGATGGATACATTAGGAAAAGCAGCCCAGTTAACTGATCGTCAGCATATGTTCTGCAAACTGGTTATTTCAGAGGGCTAAGTTGTGTCCTAATCATTCAGTGTGCAGTACTGCAACATAATGTATATTAGATTGTTGCAGATTTTAATATTGTACAGTTTGAAGAGACTGGAAGCATAAGAACTGACTCCTTTTGGAAGTCAGGCATTGTCCAGGCCCATAAAAATATTATTCAAAATTTTACTGGCAGAACTCTTCAAAACAAAACATAAAATATACATCCAAAATATCCATACAATGTAGTGGGCTGTCCAGTATAGGCTCAGCATCTTAGAAAAAATGAAATAATCCAAACAGACCTCGAAGCAGAGCTCTGTCTTTCCCCACAACCTGCATTCCAGCCCCCATTTGCCTTAGGTTATTTACTCTCCCTTCAGAAGAGCTTTCACTCCATGGAGTTTGGGAAACAAAGAACTAAAGGCAACTCCCTTTCAAAATGGAGATTTGCAACTCAATACCTTCATCACATGATCGAATGCTCACTTTCAGCACTGTATAAAAAAATAAAAATCACCAGGTAATCATTAACTAGTTACAGCTCAGAGAGAGCTCTTCTTGTTGTTGATATAGCTTCATAGAAAATTCCAATGTTAAACTTTTTCGCCAATATACATCTAAGCATTCTCATTTGAGTGTCAATCAAGCCATTATACTTAACATAAACTAAGGTTACCAGATTTTTCTAATGAATCCGGGGACACTTTTCAACTTCAGTAGGAATGATAGGATTTTGTTAGGGGACTGATTTGTAAATCCAGGGACTGTCCCCATGAAATGGAGATGTCTGGTAACCTTAACATAAACTATAAACAACCAGTTGCATGATTAAGTGGCTGTTTTGAACGAGTGGATATGGTTTTGAATGCATAAGGAGAGGTGCCACATTTTTACAACTTCCCCATATTGATTTCAGCCCATGACAAATCTTTTGCTTGGGCATGTGGGACAGCATAAGAATGTCTGGATGTGCCCTCGGCTTGGAATTAGAAGTTGTGGGTTCAAATATTCGCCTGGCCATGAATTTTTTCCCCCTCAGATCATATCCTCTTATCTCCCTATCTGTAAAATAGGATCTTGTAGGACGTTACTGACAGATGTTCTGCAAGAATGGACAAAATGCATATGGAGCAGCATTTAGCAAGCTGGCAATTCTGTGCAAAGTGATTTCAGCTATTAAAGAAAATGTGACTACAACTGACCTGGTCCGACAACTCCAAGCTAAGTGGTTTGTGATTCACAGCCCCCAAAGTGCTGGTAGTTGTGAGGTTAAGCAGATACTGTGTGCAAAGAAGGTTATAAGGTTAATGTTCTTCATAATCCATGAATCTTGGGCTAATGGTGTGAAAGAACATACTACAGCTGCTGTGTTGAAGTATTTTAGTTAAGGACCAAACTACACAAAATTATGACATCTCTTTGGCCATTGCTGCACCTACAACTATTCATCTGGGATTTCTCAATAATACCAAAATTGATAGATTCCCCCCTCTCTACTTATGGTAAAGTACCTCCTCCTCCTCTTCCTCCTCAAATTACTTTATTTTTCAGTTTCTAAAATATTATTATTATTATTATTATTAATTTTGCTGTTCTCTATTATTATTTAGGTGGAAGCAGCAGAGTACATCGATTCTGGCACATGTTAAAATATTTTAAAATCTTTTCCAGAAATAACAGGCAGCGTACGCGTGTATTGTGATGCCTGAACATGTTTGCAAGAATATTATAAGACCAGCTAAAACTGGCTTTTTTGGGGGGGGGACCCCAAACCCTCCCCCCCTGCTTTACTCCTTCATGTTCACATTCCATCTTCTCTGCATCAGCCCACTGAGGTTCAGTCTAGCCAGAACTTCTGCTTCTTTTCTTTTTCCTGTTCTCAGTTGGGAGTGGTCCTAGTGGGATATTTATCCTTCCTCTCTCTGCAACAGAGCATCCTGTGTTCTGTTCAGCAGACAGTTTTGAGCTCTGCTTAAAAATTTAAACAGAACAGCGCACAGGCCTCCACACACAGCTCTAGGGGGAAGCAGATATAAATTAATAAAAGTGGCAAAATGGCATGCATAATACATCACAAAACATCGTGCATTATCACAACAACAAAAGAATGGGGAAAACACCCTCTTTTCCATACATGCTAGAAGACTTTGAAGAAAAAGGGTGCGTGTCCATCCCCACCCCCTCAGCCCAATGATGAGAAATCCAATGGGTTTCAAATGGAGACCCCTAGGAGGAAGACTTATAAAAAGGCATTAAATCAATTCTTTTGGAAAATAGTCTCCCAGCCCTTCTGGATAAATGAGTGGGAAGGGGAGATGAGGCAGGATGAAGACGGGTTGTTGTGGGAGGCACAGAACTGGAAGAGGACAGGGCAGGCTTGCACAAGAAAGATGGGACAATTGCAGTATTCAAAGCAAGGGTGATCCCGTAAGTGAGCAGCGCTTTGCTCAAAACAGAGCAGCATCAATTACAGGCAGACTTGATGGCATCTTCCCTATGGTGAATCGGGCTCACGCCTGTTTTGTTGCCCTCTGTCCTTGCAGCTCCTCGTTCCTGTTCCTCAAGTTAAAAAGGCCCAAAGGTGAGAGGGTAGCAGGCAGTAGATGACTTTACCAATGCAGTCCTGTAGGGCAGAAATCTCAAAACAGAGCAGTAAATAAAAGGTGACTTGATTGATTAGGTAATTTTGATACCCTCCTAATTATTCTCAGATCCCTTGTTTCCATTACACTGCAGGGAGCACTTCTACATTAAGTTGTCTATGGAGGGATGCCTCTGCGTTGTGGAGGATTCTGGGTTGTGTTCTAAGACACCTCTCTGTCATAGCATGTTGAAGAATCAGAGCGTAGTGGCAAAGCACATGTAGAAAGTTACTGGTTCAGTTTCTGTCGTATCCAGTTTAAAGAAATAGTTTGCAGATGATGAAACAATAGAGAGTAGGATCTGGAGAGTAGGGATGCATCATTTTCTTTTCTTTTTTTATTAAGTTTTACATTTTATATTCAACATATTAATCATATAAAATAAAGAATAATGATGATGATGATGATGATGATAACCACCCCATGACTTCCCTCAACTTCCCCTTCTGGTTCTTTAACTATTTGCTACTTCTGCTTAATTTTACCTTATTTTCCATCTTATAGCTGAATGCTCTTCAATTTTTATCATTTTTATACCAAATTTCCTTCCAGTTATATCTTACATTTAATTAATTTTCATATTCTTATATCTTACCCTTTATTGTTAGTTGTGTTTACTCAAAACCTGCTAGTGAGTACATTCCTTTACAATCTTTCTGTAAATGTGACATAAATGATTCCCAGTGTTTTTTAAAGTCTCTATTGTCTTTGTCTCTGAGTCTTCCCGTAAGTTCCACCATTTCTGTATATTCCATAAGTTTAACTTGCCATTCTTCTTTCATTGGTATCTTGTCGTCTTTCCATTTTGGGGCTTTTAAAATCCTAGCCGCTATTGTGGCACGGATGCATCATTTTCTATTCCACCTTGTATTTTATCACGTGCAACAATGTTTCTGTACCACTGCGGTTCATCTCCCGCCCACAACTACATTATTCACCTTGCTGTCTGATGTGGTGAAATTACAGAACTTACGCAATTTACACAATCAGTCACACAGATAGTGTTGCCATTTTGTTATTCCACCCCCCTGCAAATGGGAGTGGGGAAGTAAATCTGTTACATTTTTCGTT